GTGGGAATTTGTAAGGTCTACCTTTAGCACAGGGGTGGGTAAAATACAGCCCGTGGGCTGAATCTGGCCCACAAATTGATTGTATCTGGCTGATTTAATAGATTTAATAGATTTTCAGGGTCAGAAGGGACCTCAGTAGATCATCAAGTCCGACCCCTGCCCTGGGCAGGAAAGAGCGCCAGGGTCAGATGACCCCACTCCAGAGGTGGCTGCAGCTGTTACACCCCCATCCCAACAAACCCCATCCCAACTGTTGCTAGGTCCTGAAATCAGGGCCCAACGGTTCCTAAAGGCTGAGGGCTCCAGGCCAAACCATAGCAAAGGTCTGAGGTGTCAGGCCCAGACTATTGCTAAGGCCTGAGGCGCCAGGCCTCAACCATTGCTAAAGGCCGAGGGCTCCAGGTACCATGCACTAACTGCTACTAGGACCTGGGGCTCCAGGCCTCAACTGCTGCTAAGGGCTGAAGTATGAGGCTGCAACTGTTGTTAAGGCCTGAGGGACCAGGCCCAGACCATAGTTAAGGCAAAAGCCTGAAGCTCCAGACCCAGACAGTTTCTAAGATCTGACGTTCTAGGTCAAGACCATTGCTAAAGCCTGAGATTTCTAGGCCCAGACTGTCACTAAGGGCCAAAGTGCCAAGCCAAAATCATCACTAAGGCCTAAGAGGCCAGGCCCAAGCATTGTCAAGGACCAGGCCCTGAATATAACTAAGACCTGAGTCACCAGGCCCAGATTGTTACTAAGGCCTGAGGTGCCAATCCCGCACCGCCACTAATGGCCAAGATGTCAGGCCCAGAATGCTGATAAGGAGGTGCTAGGCCCAGGCTGTGCCGATGACCAAGATGCTAGGCCCAGACCACTGCATAGGGCCAAGCACACCAGGCCCAGACCATCGCTAAGAACCCAGGGGCCAGGCCAAGACTGTTGCTAAGGCCTGCAGGGTCCAGGCCGGACTGTGGCTCTGGCCTGCAGAACACATGGCCACGGTCTACAGGTCCAGAGTGCTGCAGAGGCCCCAAGCTCCCACCAGTACTAAGGCCCGAGGGGCCATACCCAGGATATAGCTAAGGCCCAAGGTGCCAGGCCCTGCCCTGACCCAGGGCAGAGGGCTTGAAGCCCAGACCATTGCCAGGGCCTGAAATGCCAGATCAGACCATTGCTAAGGCACAAAACCAAGACTGTCACTAAGACCTGAGAGTCAAAAGCCCAGACTGTCACTAAAGCCCAAAGTGCCAGACCAAGAACATCACTGTTCAGGCCCAGACCTTTGTTCAGGCCCAAGAATGCCAGACCCAGAGTCACTCAGGGCCAAGCACCAAGTGACGTTTCACAGGCTTCGACATCACAAATGTAGGCTTCTCTTCATCTCCCCCTACCCATGTTATTTCTGCTTTTCATTACACTATGGAGAGCACTACTGCCATGACAGGAATTTTCCTTTGGTTCTATGAGACAATGAGCTCGTATGAGGCAACGGAAGTGGAGGAACAAGGTTACAAGTTGATGGAAGTGGAAGAAGAGGCTGAGGAGTTGATGGACTATGAGGAGCAGCAGCACAAGGCAGTGGAAGGCTGAAATGCTCTCAGAGATGTTGGAGATTCCCAGGGAGCTGATGAGGGTACCCAGGTCAATGGACGTGGTGATACCTAAGCTGTCTCCTCCACTGCTGCCAGGCCCACGCCACCCAGGCTCAGGGGGTAAAGGGCTTCTAGCCAACTGGGATGGTGATGGCCTTAATAGTTTTGTCCTCACCAGTTTTAAGAAAAAGATCAATATTGTAGGAGTGTTTGGAGTAATCATGACCACTTGCTGCCTCAGAGTTTGTCCAGTGTCTCCTCAGGAAGCTTTTGGGCTTGGAAGATGACAGAAGTGCTGGCAGAAGCTACAACCATCGAGGCAGTGAATGTCTGGCCTCAGCCTGGCCTTTGGATTCTGTCTCATGGAGCTAGCACATGTGGAGGGAGCCAGCTGAGGGTGGCAGTGACCTTGATGGCACATCCTGGCTGGCAGCTGGTGCCTCTCCCCTGTGTACAGCTGCAGGACCTACAGAGCCAGGAGAAAGAGGCTGTTTGTGAGAGTTTGCAACATTTCTGAGATAATATGCTCTCTACCAGGGGGGCTGTGCATTGCCTGGCCTCAGATCAGGGGTTGTGCATGCCTAGGTGCTCAGTGACCATGGTAAGTTGGCCAAGCAGGCCCTGGCACAGACAGAGGCTGGCCAAGCCTCACCCCCCGGCCAATCTCTACTCAGTCTGCAGGGGCAGGTAGGCTGCCGGGTGCTGGCCATAGGCAGCCTGTGATTATTATTTTTCTATCATGTTGGAACAGCTTCTTGTTGAACTTCATGCCCTATATCCTTTAGGAATTCCTGCTCCTTTATTAGCCCTCTTGAACTCCTTTATCCTTTGGACCTTACTTAGTACTTCCAGAATCAGCTGAAATGTGCCCTTTCAAAGACCTGTATCCTTGTTTTACTACTCTTATGCCTTCCCTTTCTTTGAATCATGAGTGCTACCATATCATAGGAAAGCAGAGCTGGAAGGGACCCCCAGAGGGTCATCTAGTCCAGCCTCCTTCTCAAAGCAGAATCATCCTTGACTAAACCACCCCAGCCAAGTGTCTGTTTAACCTGCTCTGGAAAAAACTTCCAACAATGGAGATTCCACCATTTCTCTAGATCAGGGGCGGGCAATTATTTTGGGCAGAGGGCTGCCTACTGAGTTTTGGCAAGCCATCAAGGGCCGCATGACAGGCAGCCCCGGGCAGATTAATATTGGTTTTCTAAATTTTTTAGGGGCCCCACGGGGCATCTGGTCCCCAGGATGTATTTTGCCCACCCCTGCTCTAGGTAGTCCGAACCAGTGCTTAACCACCCTCATAGTCAGAAAGTTCCTCCTAATCACCAACCTAAATTTTCCCCTGTTACAGCTTGAGACCATTACTCCCAATGCTGTCCCCTACAGCCACAAAGCAAAGCTCATCTCCCTGCTGCCTATAAATACAGACCTACCAAAATTGTGTGTGAGAGATTTTTGTGGAACCCACAGTTTTGGGTGGGCTCTATGCTTTTTGGCAGACTCCCTGGAAAAAAAACAACATCTTTACTGCTAGAGATCCAGCAGTCCTCATGGCCACTGCATCCTGGCTGCACAGCCCAGTGGGGAGACACGGGGGGGGGCAGCTGCCAACATGGCAAGAAATTAGAAATTAATTATTAAGTCATGGGAAGTAGTGTCAAAAGCTTTGCAAAGGTAAACATGGGTAAGCTATGTTACCTAACCTTAAGCTTTGTAGGTAAACATATCTGCTGCTCTCCCCTCACCCACAGAGCCTGTCACCTTATCATAGAAGGAAATAAGATTGATTGGGCATGACTTGTTCTGGGTGAATCCATTTTGGCTGTTCCTGATCACCTTGTTCTCTTCTAGGTGCTTCACAATAGATTCTTTAAGGATCTGCCCTGTGATCTTTCCAGGCATAGAGGTTAGTTGACTGGTCTGTGTTCCCCAGATCCACCTTCTCCCCTTTCTTATAGACACTATGTTTGCCCTTTTTCAATCATCCAGGGTCTCACGCGACTGCCACAAGTTACCATAGAGGATAGACAGTGGCTGCAACATTACCTAAGCCAATTCCTGCAGTATATCATCCAACCCTGCCAGCTTGAAAGCATCTAGCTTCTCTAAGTAGCCCTTAACCTATTCTGCCACTACTCTAGGCTGTCTCCTTCCCTATCTTTGCTGCCAACTGCTCTCTTCATCTGGTACCTGCCCCACTTGTAAAAACTGAAGCTAAAAAGGCACAAAATACTTCAGCCTTCTCTGAATCATCTGTAACTTCTGCATTTTGTACTGGACCTACGGTTTCTCAAGTCTTCCTTACTTGTGACACTTACAGAATCCTGTATTGCCTCTTATATCCCTTGTCAGCTGCATGTCAAATTGTGCTTTGGCCTTCCTAATTTTTTCTTTGCGTGCCCATGCAATACTCTTATACCCTTCCCTTGTTCTATGACCAATGATTGATTCCTCCAAAGTGTCCAATGACAGCCATTTTTTCCAAACAAGGTCCAAAATTAGTTACCCCCTTAGTTATACCCTCAACTTCCAGGACACATCCAGTAAGTTCCTAACATGTACAGCTGACATTTTATACTTTGCTGCATTATTCTTCCAGCAGATACTAAGGAAGCTGAAATCCCCCATTAGCATTCTTTCATAAGTTTTAAATACTCTTGTTACTTGCTTGAATAATGTCTCATTCACCTCTCTTTTTCCCCACTTGGTCTTCTATAGCAGACAACCCCCCCCCCATCATCACTAGTGTTCTTTTCTGCCTTTATTGTTATTCATATACATTAAGTGTTTTCTTCTTTCTGAAGCTGGGACAAGCACATATTCTTGACATGTACTACAATTCTTTTATTTTTTTAAAAACCAGCCTCATTCTTCTGAAACGAGGCATACCACCCTTCAATGTTGGGTTTTTTAAACGTACTGTTACCATTTAGCAAGTTTCAACAGTGATTGTTGCTGTTTAATACCTACCCTAAAAGCAAGGGGTTCCAGTTATTGCTAGATTCAAAATATTGGGTAGAATGATTCAGAGTCACTCTGACCTAGTTCAAAGAGTCCATACAATGCATTTTAACTGGGACCAGAACACCCCTGTTCATTAAGTTCAGGTGTAAGCCTGCAGAACTAAAGAAAGGAACCACAACAACGCCCCCAGCAGCTGCATTCATCTTTACTCTTCCACTATATGTGCATGTGTGTGTACGTGCACACATGCATGTATATTAGTTTTGCTCATTCTCTGCCCTACATTGTTTCCCCTCCTACAGCAATTGTACAGACTTCTTAAGCTACTAAAATAACTTCATAGAACTGTGTAGCAGACTCAAAGATAACCTTAATGTACAGCACAACATTAAACTCAAACCCAGTATTAGACTAGTTAGATACCTGTTGTAACCTACATATGCAAAAGTGCACACTTACAGGATATGTAAGGCATTTTTTATTTTTAGAACATATCTTTTTAATGCCAAAAAGTAACAGCCACTAGTAATTGTCACTTTAAATGCAATCTGAATACCATTGCAGACATAGCATACGAAGATCACTTACAGACATGGTTAGGTACACAGGTCATAAGATGTGCCAGTTGAAGATTACCACTTTATTTTTACATCTGGGTCAGATTGACATAACTTTTTGACATTTAATTATTTTACCAAATAACCATGCCATTAAAACAAAGGCAAATGTACATATATACTAGAACAAACTTATTGGAACTTAACATTTTTACATTACAGTTGGACAAACAGAAAAAGGCTTGTTCTCTAGTAAATTAACCAAATTTGTCCGAAATAAACCCTACCCCACACACCCATATTGTCTACCTTGTATTGAAAAAAATTACAGATGTTCTTAATAAAAAGGCACATTTGGCAGCTACTAAAACTGGCATGCATCTGGCACAGGATTTTTTTCCCTTTCAACCTTTCAGTCACCTAGAACATGACTTCATGTTTGTTTGTTAGGGAGTCAAGTGTGACCTACCCTTAGTTCACTTGATTTGCAACTTTGCAGCAGTTGGCTACTTAATGCACTGTTTTTTATTAAAGGCAAAAGGGAAACTTGCTCACAGTTGACAGAAAAATGCACTTTAAGGTTTTTCTTCTTAAAAAAATGGAAAATAAGGCATGAAATTTACAAACTAAGTTACAAGTGCTTTTGGCTTAGAACTGTACTGGGCCACATGTTTCTTTCCTTACCTAACAGAGCTAAAAAAGACTTCAGCCCATGCATCAAACATTTTGAAATGACACTTCAACAGTTAAAATAAGATATTTAAAGAGAAAAATCTAAGAAGCTGCCAACATTTTTATTTACCCTTTTCAAATGGATTTTTCAGCAAGACTGTACTTGTTAGCTGAAAAGGTATTCACCTTGAGAGGGGGGCAAGGTGCAATTTTTACATACTGCAGGCCAAGTTTTAAGGAACACTGTTACAATTCTAAGACAAACATTCATAAATGAGGGGCTTTTCCTAACTGAGTTTAAATGCAGAACCACTAGAATCATCAGTACCAAAGGCTGTTTACACACCTGCTATGCCAGGTCAAGACTAGAACTACAGCAGACACCTCCTTTTCTTTACGATGCTACAGGGCCTATAGCAAAACAAGTGCATTTAATCAGACCTTGTGGTACAGAATAGACTTCCTTGAATATAACATAATAGAACCATCTCTTTCAAAAGCACATCAAGGACCTGGGTCCAAAACCCACTAACGTGTGGAAAGATTCCCATAAATTTCAGTGAGTTTTGGATCAGTTGCAACAGAGTAAAAATAATACTGGAGCTTATTCTAATAAGGAAAGTCTAATTTAAGATGTCACATACTAAAAGCAAGACACATGGACACACACAATTCTGATAACCTAAAACTCAAGAGAAGAGGCCAGTAAGTAACTATAAACAGACTTCTCTTGGGACATGGGCCTCTCTACCTTGTAAAGTAAAGTGACAGTTAAGCAAGAATTTAGAAACAATCACAAGAGCTCACCCTAGAAGTGATTGTTAGTTTATGGCATGGTATTGATTCTGAAACACAGGTCAGGTTTTCTCCAAGACGACACACCAAAATCATATCTCAATTACTGAACACCATGACAGCTGTACTTACCGCCTAGTAACCAGGCAGGGAATTAATTAACTTTTCCTTGTATTTTATTATAAACTGATTTGAAATAAAATGCGCAATGCTAGAAATACCAGCTTTTTTTTTTGGAGGACTCCTACACCATTACACTGCATTCTAAATCAAGGAGGGAGGTAATTTAGAAATGGCTTAAATATTGCAGTGTAAAAGCACTGTTGACCTCTTCATTGAAGGCCTCCATTTCTCACCCTCCCCAGCCTAAGCACCCAGCAGCTGAAGAACAGCTCTCTGTAGCAGTATATGCTGTCTTTTGAGCAGTGTCAGACTTTAGTCTGGGGTCTACAGCAATGCACCAATCTAATTTAGACAGTGCTTGGCCAACACTGAAGTATGTTTCATCATCCCCTGCTATTTTTCAAGTCATTTTACCAACTCCCTGGCCAGTGTGAATAACAAAATATGATTCCATTTTCTCTGCCTGCATTTAATGATATTTGTTTTGCCATCCTAGGCACATCAGTCGCCAATACAAACATGGCCAAATGAGAAATTCAGTGCTAAAAGAATTATTTCTCGCAAATGAAACTGACAGCCTACGAGACAAGCCAGTGCTTTGCATCTGTGCTCTAGACCAGCATTTCTCAACCCATGGGTCGCAAGAATATATGAGAGTTGTGACTAAACTTTAAAAATGGATCAACACACTTTAAAAATGGATTATCCTTTAAAGGAGAAAAATGTAGGAAACTGTAGCTTTTCCCTTGCAGGCTGGCAGAGTTCCAGCCTGCAAGGGTCTGTTTGGGGACCCCCACCGCTCCACACACTGGAGTGCTGAGGTCTGGGGGCAGTGGATCAGGACTGGCCATCAATGTTTACTAATGGGTCCTGGTACAAAAAAGGTTCAGAACCACTGCTCTAAACTTCTAGCCTAGATGCAAGGGATCTGGTTGTTTTTTAGTCTCGTCTTTGATACTTTGTCAGTGAGGGAGTGTTCCTTGCAGTGGTGAACACTGACATCTTCTGCATGACAGAAGGATGGTGCTGCAGTCTAAAGGGAATTTAAATGCTCATCATGTAGTGCTTGATTTCCTCATAATTAAGGACTTTGGATCCTCAGTGCAACTTGGAAGGGAGGTGGTATTATTCCAATTTCACAAAAGGGAAATCGAGGCACAAATAAGATTTAGTAACTCCTGCTAGAACCCACAAAAAGTCTATACCTGAACCAGGAACAGAGTCTGGCTCTCCTGTACTCCAGTCCAATGACCTAATCACTGAACCACTCTCCCTTCCTAGCAACCACGATTCTGAGCATACAGAACAGGAGATAAGAGCTTGGGCATCTGGCTTTGAGGGAGAACTCCTTGGATTTCCTCTGGAAAGCCATCAGTTTTTACAACTTTCCCGTGGTTATTCATTTTCCTTAGTTAAATCTGAAACACTAGCAACTCTACATTGCCTGCAGGACAGGGTTGGATAAAGCGCATATGTCAAAGTCCTCCTTTGAAGCTGAGTTCATAAATCTTACAAACAAAGAGGAGAAATACCATTTTTTTGCCAGGAAAATGGTTTTAAAAAATAGATATAAACCTAAAGCTACACAAACAAATTCTCAGTATCTGGCTACGACAAAGTTTGCTGCTTAATGCTGATGAAAGCTAAACATCTTCTGAAATGTAAAGACCATGTTCTAGTATGATGAAGCACATTTCACTGATCTAATGGCACTGTAAAAAGTTACTCAAATGGATTTCCAGCATGACTAATTGCTCTAGAAAAACCATTGTTAATGACATGGCTTTCTGGGTTGCTGAAATGTATTTGTGTTTGTATCAAAGAAGAAACATGATGGAAATTTACTATGACCCATGAGCCTTATTAAATAAAGATGAGATACTGCACACTTCACAAACATTACGGTAGTGGAGAATAATAAAACTTCTTTTCTTCAATAACTGGCATGCATTATTGTCACAGTATTGGTTAGAATCAGAAAAGCAGTACACAGGTTTATGGATAATCCATGTCATGATATTTATGAAGGTAAATGCTCTGTCATGTACATTTCTGACACAGTAAATAACTACTGTAAAGATTAGGAGATTTTTTTAAGACAAAGTTTGAAATTCTATAGCACGCTGCATACATGAGATGGGAAATTTTAAAACGTATACAGTAATTCACTTTGGGAGAAACCCAGCTCTTTCATTCTAACTAATCTTTGTTTCACAGCCCACAACTCAATTTTTCTTTAAACTGTTATTTATTACTAAAATACATATACTGAACTAGGAAAAAATGCGTACCACAACACGTGCTTTTATCCCCTTTTCAGTGTTTAACTGAAAAACTGAATTGTACATTTGTCATTGTAATAATTTAAGGTACGTCAGCGAAACAAATATCTGTCTCTATTTCAATTAAATTAAAAACAATCTGCAAGTATATTTATGCAACATTCACTATATACATGATTTACGCAACTTCAAGACAATTCTATGTATGCTGATTAATCTATTATTAGTAAAACATGACTATAACTATGGAAAATGGCCAGCAAGTGCTCCTTTCACAACAAGTGATGGTGTTTTCATGGCATGATTAAGTACAGCTAAAAGCCATGAAATGGATTATCAGTAAACCTTAAAAAGAATGGAGATACCCTAGCATAGATTAACAGTCTCCTAAATGTAGTAGTATAGTTACTTCAGACAATAGTGCTGCTGTTTAAAATTCTGCCATCATTTTAATGACATAGGACTTTAATCTGCTCTAGTTAAAGAAAGCAGTAATTACACATTTATGCTTCCTGGCAAATTTTTTTGAACTGGCACCATAATTTCATAAAATAATAATTAAGTACCTCTTTGGTGAGACCTAGGTACCCACACTATTCGTTGTAACAATTTGTAAACAGGACCGCAATGCAGTGCTATGCCTTTATTCTAACACAGTTAGGTACCACGGATCTTCCTCACAGTCCTTTTCATGATTTTGGGAAAGTATTTGAAAGCAGGGAGTAAAAGCAAAGGGAAGTTAAGGAGGATACAAAGTTCCCTGTTTGAGATTTTTTTTTTTCCAAAAGTGCATAATTTTTTCATTCCAATAACTGGGTCACTGTATGGGACTGATGCACACAAAACTATGTTTTCCATTCTGTCCTGGACATTAGAGATCATTACACAAAACACAGTCTCTGCTCATTGGCCAGAGAAGTCCCTCGAGTCTGTTTTCTGGTACAATCAGTTGTCCAATTACTCTAGAACAGTGTCCCACATACTAAAATAGGATCTTCAAGTCCATCAGTTGCTTTGTGATAATAATGTCTGCTTTTGTGATTCAGTTTCTGCATCCTGCATTTCAAATTTATCATAGAGTTTTTAGTGTTTGGTGTACACATCCTAACTCCTTGGCGCCAGCAGATTCAGTGCATCCATTGCCAGCAACAGACATAGCGCCAGGGAAACGCAACTCCAACAGCAAAGACTAACTCAGGAGGAGTGGGCGTTCTCCAGCAAAGGTGGTCCGTCTCGATGCATCGATGGATGTGTGTGCTCCCTTTTATAAGTTTTTGGAGGAAGCTTTGGGATATGTTGAGAAGTGCTTTGTCGTGGAGGAACAGGTGGCCCAGCAACAGGTTGGAGGTCCACATCTTGCGGTATCAAAGGAGGTGATGGCAGATGTCTCCGTGCTACATGTGGAGAAGGAGTTTGAGGGGGCGGGGGAGTAAATGGAGAGGGACTGTTTGGAAAAAAGGTATTGCCGAGTTCACTTTTTCGACCTAAAGGTGGGGGCTGGAGGTGTAGTGGTGAGCTAGAGAAGACATCTGGTGTTCGCACAGGTTCTCGCGGTGGTAAAACAGGAGGGCTTTCAGGGGGGTCTGATATGGAGGTCCGATCTGGCACCGAGTACCTTGGCGAATAGACTTTTGAAGTGGGTTGTCTTGGAGGAATTGCTGGTGGACTGTCCATATGTGCAGAAGTAATCTGGAGAAGATAAACATTTAATTAAATGGTTATTACTTAAACAGCAGTAGCCCCCGAAGGCCTCAAAATCAGGATGAGGGCTCAGCTGCATTGCTACATGCTATACAAACACAAGTTATCCAATCAAAACCTGGAGTAACAACAAACAAGTGCAAAACAACTTAGAAGAACTAGGGAGGGAGAACAAGTGAAACTGATCAAGCAAAGCAGCAAGTGGGAGGAGCTGACTGGAGCTGGAAGAAGCAGGCTCCTCTTATGGGTATGGATAGTGAGGGGTCAGTTGAAAGTAGAGATGAGGAAGCGGGAATGCATCGGGGGCTGTCATGAGGTGACTGCATAGCCATGGCTGGAAAGAAGAGAAGATGCATGGGAAAGGCTGCAGAAAGGACTGGGGGCTGCAAGAAGCAGACTGGCTCAGTGGTCAGAGCAACAATTCCTGAGGAAATTCCAGCTCAGCTGTTTGATCAGGTGCTGGGGTGCCCATCAGTCCTTGAGCAAGAGCCCTGGGAATGAGTAGGATCACAAAGCACTTTTCCTCTAGAGAACAAGGGATTAGGGGGGAAGAGCAGAACAGGCTAATGCTCTTCAAGGGGGCAAACAAAACAATATTCTGTCCTGAAGACTGAAATAATGAAATCAAAGTGGGATTTTTCAAAGCCACTTAAGTGACCCAAGAGTGCAAATTTAATTGAAGGGAAAGGAGGCTACAATACACTCTGCCACTGAAAACAAAGGGGAGTACAATCTCCGCTGGGGCTAGTGACAGAAATTACACACTGGTTCAAATCCGTAACAACAGAAGTTCAGTGCACACAAACAGCTTTCAAAATAGCAAAAACTGGTTTAAGATAAACCTGAATGGATGTAGTATCAGCATGAACTGATTTAGGTTAAATTGGTTTACTGAACTTTTGTACCAGATCCCCTCCAGATTCAAGTTAACTCACAGTCCCCCAGCACCCCAGGAATGCTTTGCACTCCACTCCACTCCCCCCTCCCCCTCTCTCGGTCACAGGGTGGCTGGGCTAGCCTTGGCCCAAGCTGTCTGCTCCAGTGGAGCAGGGAGGTGTGCTGGAGCTCCCCCTACTTCTGGCCTGAGCCACTGCAGGCATGTGGCTGCATTTCTGTAATCAAAAGTAAATGTCTGTTCACTTGTTTATTGGTTCAATCTATACAGCATAGACTAACCTGAAAAGACTGAATTGATTCAGCCTTGGACTTTCTGACTGCCTGTATTTAGCCTAGGTGGCTTGGGAAAAACTAATAAATCACAATTTAATTCTATAAGGCCCTGAGCACTTCCCCACAGAAGTCAAGAGGCCTCTGCTCTGGGTGCAGAGGAAGGCCTGAGTCACGATCAAGGGCCAGACACACACATGCAGGGAGAGGAAAGACTGAACAGTATGTTGGACAAGAAACTGAGGCAGACAGCATGGGCTCAACACATTTTGCTGAAGCTCTTGGGGCAGACAAATTCCAAAACCATATCACATTACGGCTGTCTTTCCTCCCTTCTCCTCCCTACATCCCCTTTTGGGATTATCTTGCTGGATAAGGAGGGCTGCCTGAAGCCACAACTTCTCCTAGCCAAAGCTGGGACAGGAACACAGGAGCTCTGAGCCTGGGTAATGAAAAGTATTCCAAGCCCTAACTTTAGATTCCTTTCATACCATTACAACTGGTTTTCTGACCCCACTCTGGTCAGAGGTCTGTCTTTTTGCAGGCTTAGGAAAACAACTACATACTCTTCTCATCCAATCCCATCTTGCTGAAAGCCGTTTCCTCACTTTACAGACACCCTGTGTTACCCTCGTGATAATATGCATCTCACTATTTCTCAAATATATACATTCAGAGTTTGTTTATTTATTTATTTACCTTTGATGGGGAGGATTCTGCTGGGGCAGATTCTGGTCGTCTCCGTGGAGGAACGGGAGGGGGAACAGGTGTTTCATCAGAGCTTTTGGTGAAGCTTATGGATGACACTGAAGCAGATCCTGGTGAACATTCAAAAACAAAAGCTTGAAGATGACTGCACTTTATATCCCTTTTGTTATTTTTTTCTGCTTGCCTTTAACAACAGTTCAGTACGTAACTGTTAACTTGTACTGAAGCATGCATAACAAATGAGCGTGAATGGAGGGGAGATAATTCAGTAAATTATCATCATAGAGTTACTTTGCTCAAAAAAACCAACCAACCAATGCCCACCAACTAGCACCAAACCAGTTGTAAAGCATAAAAATATTTTTAATCAAGCTGTTTAATTTCACACAGGGAACTTGAACAGAAAATCTCTTTCTGGCATCTGAGCAAACTGCTGTATTACATTAGGATTTTCTCACTCTTCTCTACTCTCCAAAAATACATATGGAGACTGTAGATGCTTCCATTACAGAAGCAGCATAATGACTGATGTAAGCCTGAAGCTTAATGATGCAGAAATAACTTCTTTTGGGGAACAATGAGCCCAAAGACTAGGACTCAGTAGATCAAGGGTCAGTTTCCCAGTTTTGCTACTAGCCTGCAGCGTGACTTTTGCTGTGGGCAAGCCCATTCCCTTTTCAGTGTGAAAATGGGGCTAATGTTATAGATGCTACTATGAAAGCTTTGAGATTCACGGATTTAAACAAGCATTTTAAAAACAGTATTATTAGAAATACTTTACAGAGCAAGTAGTCTTCTTTAGTTGATAGAGAATGGAGAAAAGGCTGAGGTACTGATGCATGAAGGCATAAGTGCTGCATTTAGCAGAAGGCAGGATAGTATATACAAGTGCTGTTTAAATTTCACTCAAACCTTATGCTTTCTTTCGTTTAAAAAAAAAGACTGACATTTAGTTGAGACCAGGTAAGTAGGTCTGGCACTGAATAAGGTAGCAGAATTCTATTACCTGCACTATGCAGTACAGACCAGTGCCAAGTACCTACACCACAAACTTTCCAGGTGATCCTTGTTTTGCTAAACCAGAAGTTTAGGTTTTGCTGCAAGAATCAGGCTGAGAGCACATTCCACAGCCACTAATAATCTATTCCCCTTTCAGCATTCTGCTCTGGCAATCTCTCTGCAGGGATTTTAAATATCACACAAGCAAGGATCCTAATTCTACGCTATTCCTTATTTGACAATCATTTTTAAGTTAACATTAACCAAAGTAAAAATGCACTGAGACTTGCTGTCACCATACAAAGAGACAAGTGTATAAGGATATAATCACTTCTGAAGAAGGAAATGTGTTTGTGCCAGAAATAATTATTTAAGACCATTCTTGGATTTAGCACCTACTTGAATGGAAAGGACTCGAAGGGTCCGAGTCAAATACACTGCAGGCATCTGTAGTGCTAGAAGTGGCAGATGCTGGGGGTGGGGTCAGAGGTGTTCGTGGAGAATTGGGTGCAGATGCTGTACTTTCTGTTTCACTCTCAGGGATGCGACTGTAACTAATTTTTCTTGGCTCCTGTTGCAGTGGCGTAGGATGTCTCATGGTACCTGGTCTTGGGTTTGAAGGGCGAACACCTGGAGACTTGAGGGGATAGCTGTATTTTTTTGGCTGCAAAGACATCAGGTGATAAATATCAGTTAAATATCTTGTAGTACAATAAAAATGGACCTTTACAAGTCAAGTTACCTTCTCCCCATCACAAAAATTCATATAGTTTCATCTCAATGCTAATCAGTTCTTAAAACAAATTCTGCTATATTGTTGAAAGCACAGGTTTAAAAAGAGTCTATTAAGAAAGAACAAAATCTGAATACTAACAAATCTTGGTGGAGGCTTGGAATTTCGTGGCTCAATTTCCAATGACTTGTTGAACAGATAATCTGTGAATTCTTTCTCCATGCTACTTCCCATTGGATTCAAATTTTCAAAAAACCTCTGGAATACAAGTAAAAAGAGTACAGAATAAGCTACTTTTACAGACTGGGTTCTAATGCCTTTATTATACAGTTCTCAAAGGTTTCAGGAGGAATACTAGGTAAGTAGTTTTAACTGAGAAAACAATCAGTAACCATTTCACTTAAACAATCAGTAATGATATCAAATATAATTGTCGTTTGTCTCACAATTCCCATTACCTTGACAAATCTCTCTTCAACTGACAACACACAGAAACCCCAAGGGTCTGCAAGGACTCCAGTGAAACCTACTTACATCATCCCATTTCTCATTATAACACATTACAGAGAGGGAATGTAGCACTTCAAGCACATGCACATAACAAAGGAATTTAAAATATTGTACAAAAGCAAGTTCAAATGAAAGGATTACTTTTCTTTTTACAATTTGGAATAGCTTCAAAATGGAGGGCTGGAGTCACGTTTTTATGTTGTAAAAAGGGAAGTTACCTCTAATTCTAACTTTTAGAGACCCAAACATAAAATTCTCATTCAAGAGACCAACCAGTCCCAGACAAAAGCTGACTGGAAATCCCTTACTTCAATTTTTTACTCCTTTTGAACAGTAGCATGCCAGAAACCCACATCTGGCCAGCACATGCTTCCAGCTGTTTTTATCAGTTTCTGAAAGTATTACAAGGAAGCAAAAGCCCCCAAAGCACATCTTTGTATTTATAAAAATAGATCAGTAATAATTTACATACCCTAGAGGATGTCAGTTTGAATGCTAAAAAAATACACCATATCAAAAGCATCCTTGCCATTTTAGGGAGGGCTAGAGGTAAAAGGAAGTGTTGCTGTACCTTTAAGAAGCAGAATATAAGAACCTAGCCCTCCCCTTAAAGAAACTGAATGCCAAAGTCTCAGCCTTGGAAAGCAGACGGCTCAAGATGGTGCACATTTAAAAATGGAAAATGAAGATCATCTTGCAAGAGTTATCAGAGCAAGGAGACCATTCATAGAAGGAGTGGGCAAAATGGCCTACAGGCTGCATCTGGCCTGACAATTGATCCTATCCAGCCTGCTGGCTGCCACTGGGAGTCTCTGCCCCCTCACCCCCCAGATTCCCTCCCCTGACTAGCTTCCTGGATGGGGTGTAATGCAGTGTGTCAAGTAGTCTTCCAACTCGCTCATCGCAATGAGCCATTGCCACTGTGGAGCCGCTCAGCCCAGGGCAGCCCCCCCACCTCAACTTTCTTGGTGTGGTGCAGCAGCTCAGTGTGGCAAGTGGCATGGCTACTCGGTGTACTGCAGTGAATACAGATCTGATGAAGAGCAAATCCATTAAAGACCACTGGGAAACAGGCAACAGCACAAGGGGAATGGTGGAAAAAATGCAAATTCTGAAAAGAGCTTTGCTACCAATGCCAAGAAGGACCCACTAAAATATACTGTAAACAGAGACTGGGACTTTGGTACCTGACAGTTGCCACATCTCATTCACTGCTATTACTGTGTCCCAACAGCTCTCTCTAGGACTTGAGATCCAAGAGTGAGAAGCCTGATGTTAACAATAAATTTAATAGCAACTCTAAAATATACCTTTACAACTCACCACAAAGTATCCTCAATATTTGGATGTATAAAAACAAACAAACAAACAAAACAAAACAAAACAAACAAACAAAACTTACTCTGATGTCAAATTCCACTCTTAAGCAGTAGGGCTGGTTCTGGTACTGCTGTATCTCCCCAGTGATTTCAGCTACTTTCCTTCGCTTGCTGAAGTTTATTAGCTCTTTTCCATGCCGTTTTAGAAATTCAGGGTTGCCTTCTTCTGTTTTCAAGATGTTTGTCAAATAAATTCCTAAAACAGTGCACAGAAGAAAGATTACGATTTCACAGTATAAAACAAGGAGAAAACAAACCATGGCTAGAACAGGAAGAAGGAAGGATAGGCTTGTACATTATACAGTGACAAAATCAGAGATAAGCTATCCATCTCTGATTTAGAATATATCTAAAGCTATATCAAAATAGGTATTGACATCTTTGACTTAGAATAGGAAAGCCTTTTAAAGAATTAAACTTAAGTAATGCAGTTACTTAGTGACAATTTTCTCTATGGGGCTCACTGACAGAATTGTGTCCAAATTTCATGTAAGGGCAATATATTGAACTTTTAAATATGTCTTTCCTTGTAAACTGCCAGGTTACATAATATGAAAAAAAACAAAATAAAAAAAAATCGTAACATGAAAATATATCAAAAGTCTGAAAATCAATCCACTGCTCATGAAGCTCATGCCACCTATACTGAAGAATGAAAATCTAAGCGTTTGAGTTTCACAAGATAATGAGATTTCATGCATCAGAGGAAGCCTAAGAGTCTTCTCATGAGCACCATTTTTCCCAGAGCCACAAAGCCTTGGGCAACCCACATCCACATCACTTTGAGATTAGGTGTAAAACATGTTATGTTAGGTTTTGCCCTTAGCTCATGATGCAGCAGTCTCCTATACTGGCCTCAGAAATATTTTACAACATAGGGAGTAGAGAAAGAGCACATACTTCTCAGCAAAACTCATGTACCCCAGCTTGAAAACCAGTGCCCTGTGGCAAGTTTTCATAGCCAATTGTATTTGAGAGGTCCAGCTCAGATGCACTCATTTTGCCCAAACCCAAAAAGCCATTGACACCATTATTCCAAGTCCTTGTTTGAAAATTGCTTGCAACAACAGAACACTGCTAGAGTTGGAGACTCAGTGGCAAGCTTATCAGCAGGGATCCTGGTTTTCTCTAATTAAAAACTGCAAATTCTCTGAGAAAAAACCCAAAACCCTTGATAAAAATTAAAGGCCCCCCACAGCCCCGCCCCAGCACTGCTGGTGCCCCGCATCCCCCCGCACAGCCTCAACAGCCCTCCTGATGCCCCTCACAACAGCTGCCCAGACCCACAGACGTAGACATGCAGACAGAAGCACACACAGACACTGACACCCACTTCAGCAAGTAAGTGTGTGGGGGGAAGAGGCGGGGGAGGGCAGGGGATAGATTAAGAAGCGAGGGGGGGGAGGAAGGTGCCCGTGCCCACTCCCAGGAGCAGGGCCAGGGGGTGAGGGCAGGGGTGCCACTCTGTGGGCTGCATATGTGCCAGCCAGCTTGACAGGGTTCACACACGGAGGCCGCCACCACAACTCTGCCACTGCGCCCTGCACTACCATCCCACAGTTACCCGCATGGCAGCGCAGTGGCAACCACTGCTGCACAGCTCTGGGTATGGCTCTGCGGTGGCAGCAGGAGGTTTTTTAGGCAGCGGCTG